AATATCGTCTGACAAAGAGTACATTTAAATAAATGTTAAAGCCAGAATGATTTGACATTTAAATATGACTTCTCTATGACCTTCTCTCATCTTATGCCTTTCTTGTTCATTGACTTCTTTGTGCCATCATTACATTAATGAAGCTAAAAATAATATTTTCACTGAAGAGTCCTGATGCAAATGAAATCAAAAATATTTTATTTTTTAAACCCACTTTGTCAACTTTTAATATAAATTAACTAACATTAAAGGAGGGAAATTTGATGATCTGGTAAAGCTGGCTCACCAGACTTGGTAGTTCTTTGGTTGCTCCTCGATAATGTTGGTAATGTACTTCATTTCTTCCCTCAGGTCCTTCGACAGAGCCTGCAGCAGTACCCGTCTGTAGTGCCTGAACAGAGTTAGATCACACATTTCTTTAGAACCATAAAGGGAAACCAACAGAGTAAAAAGATAATTCAAACATTATATTTGAGGTGATCATAGTTATACAGTAATACTAAAAGTAAACTGATTTATTGATATTTTTCAGCTTTTTTTCCAGAACATTCTACATATATCGGCATGCGACATTTAGTTTTATTCTCCGTTTTATTCTCTGAATGTTCAACAATTCATGAACATGAAGCTGATTATAGGGAAACAACCTTTAAGGAGAAAATTCTCTGGTTTTAGCATCTTGAATTTGGAGAGAAATTTGTTCCAGCTTTGGAAAACATTTCAATAAAACAAAAAAGTTATTTATAGTATGCAGACAAAATAATGGGCAGCAAATAGAGATCAGTTAGACTGGTTTTAAAATAGCCAGATTTAGCCTTGAATAAACCTGAATGCATCCATTTCTACTCACCAGACTGTGTAATTGGCTGCATTGAGCTCGATGGCGTCCGCCGTCAGAGCCAAAGCCCTCTCGCTTTTTTCATCCTTCTTTAGGAGTGCACGGAAATAGTCATAAACATCTGCAACTGTTGGAGGAAAAATATGAAGATGAGCCTCGACGTTGAAATTTGAAATATATTTACCTTTTATTTTAAGATAAACTTAAATTAGAATATCATTGAAAAGTGGGTCTGCGTAACTAACATAGAAACATTTCTAAGTTAGCCGTTTCAATTTTTTGATCCTTTTGATGATTGCAGTAAACAGTGAGTGAAAACCTAGAATTCAGTTTCTCAAATATAAAAATTTAATTAGACCAATAAGAAGTTGAAAGATGTTATACGGAAATGTTTTTGTTGTTTCCTATTCAAACTATAATCATTATTTATTGTTAGCAAAGCTGGCCTTCCAGGGTGCTATAATTAAATCTTTTTTTGCTGAGAAAAGAGTTAGAGAGACTGACGTAGGGATGGGTTCAGCTACACTGATGCGCCGGTGCATGTGTTGAGCTCCAACAGCAAAACCTGACCGATTAAGGAGCCGCTTTCGAACTGACTGACGCACTAAACTGTGTTTATAAGCGTATCTGTCAACGCAACATATCTGCCAAAAATAATGTGGATGTTTTACAATTTATCATTAAATTAATTAAGAAAAATGGATCAGCCTCAGGAGAAAA